TGTTAATTTAGTAATATCAAAAAAAAAAAAAAAAAAAAAAAAAAAATATACATTAAAATATATGTATTTTTTAAATATTTTCTTTATTTTACTAATATATAATTTGTGTATACTAATTTTGTAGGAAAGTGATATTGTAGAATTCTATTTAAAATTAGACAATGATTTATTAATAAAATTTCCTTTTTTACATGTAGATCACCCTTTACATGAATATTATCAATTCATTAAATTAAATACAACAAAAAGAATAATAAAAAAGTATCCAAATTTTATACCTAGATCTCTAAAAAACCTTTTTGAATTTGTTGTTGAATTAGAAAATAAAAAAGTAACTAAGAATGAAACAACAACAAAAATACTAAAAGAAAAACAAATGAAAAATTTAAAAGAAAAAAAAAAAAAAAAAGATGAAGAAAAAGATCAATCATATTCTACTCTTTTTATGAAATATATGGAATCGGATGAAGAAAGTGATAAAACAATAAAAGAAGAAAAAGAAGAAAAAGAAGATTTAACTAATAATGAAAATTTTAAAGTAATTAGAATACAATACATTTTTATCAAAAAATACATATACGTGCTTAATGATTTAAATGTATATATATTTGTTTACACTTTAGGAGGTGGATGATATTGTTAACAAATTTCCACCTTAAAAAATGAATCATCCAACAATTATTTACAATTTCTAATAAGATGTATAGAAAATTTAAAATATTTGCAATATGGATCAAAAGAATATGATTACTTCACGTAATTTTATATATTATATAAATTAAATGAATAATTTTCAAAAATTTATATAGTTAATAATAAAAAATGAAAATGAAATTTATAGGTTAAACTAAAAAATTTTTATATTTACACATGTTTTTTTTCTTTTTTAGAAAAAAATTGTTATGCAGTAAAAGTGATTCAAATTTTATATCAAGGAAAATTACTGTAATTTAAAATAATTAAAAAAAAAGTTTAATATTTTACATAAAAAAATTAATATTTAAAAAAAAAAAATAACTATTTTAAAAAAAAAAAATTAATATTCTAAAAAAAAAAATTAAGTTACAATAAATGCTCTTTTTAGTCTATAGATTTTTTAACCTTTATCTATAAATTGGATGAATATAAAATAAATTTTGAGAATATATGTGGAAATATAAATGAAGATGAAAAGGTAGAAGAAAAAGATAATTTAAAAATGATACAGGATTACAGAAGGTAAAAAAAAAAAAAAAAATATAAAAAGTATTATATTTTAAAATTTTTACATTTAATGAATGTAAATATAATTTTAATTTTTTTTTTTTTTTCTTCATATTTTACATAGAGAAAGAGCAAAACTAATACTTCATGGTTTTAAAAAAAAGTAGTATCTTATTTTTTTTTTTTTTTTTTTCCTTACATATTCTAAAAAAATGAGCCAAATTCTTTTTTTTGTAATTCTTCTCTTGCAACTCTCCTTCTATAAAAAGTAAAAATTATTAGCATAAATGTATGGATAAAGTTGTTAAAAATATCAAATGAAGCTAATTTAAGGATTTGAAGATTAAAAATATAAGAGAATAGACAGTATAATAAAAAATGTATATATAATAAAAAAAAGATATATAATGATTACCTATACAAATAAGGAATTTTTATTTTTTTCTTTAAAAATTGTACATTCATCCACTTAGGATGTCTTCTAACTTTTAAACGTAAATTACTTTTTGTATATAAAATTTCGGATAAAGGTAATTCTCTTATTAATGTAGAATTATCATCAACATAAGGAAAAACATTTTTACTTTCAATAGTTTTAATTTTTTGAGTAGTTTTCCATATATTCTCTTCACGCACTATATCATATAATTTTTGAATTCTCCCTCTTTTTAAATTGTTATTTAAGTTAACTTCAATTTGAGGATAGATAGAATTATTAAATTCATTTGCTAATTTATACAAATAATTATTTTTATTATTAGAGCTTATATAATCTTTTTTTTTGAAGTTCTTTTCATTTGATACTTCATCTAATCCAATGCCACTAAAATGATTTTCACTATTTTCTAAAACATTTAAAATATAATTTTTTATGTATGGATTATAAGCACAAATACTTGGCCATATATATCTATTTTCATTGATACTATAAAAATAATTCCATTGTGTTTTTTCATTTGGCCAAGCTTTAGAAGAATCTATATCGAATGATTTAGAACTTCCATCAGGTATATATTTTTTATTTTGATTTTCATATCTATATCCCCATCTTGGAGTTAAAATATCTTCTCTCCTATTATGATATAAACCCCTTTTTTTTATTCTCTCATTCATTCCCCATTTTATTCCACTAACTGGGAATAAACCTCCTTTATGGCCTCCTCGAGGCATTTAACGAATAAAAAAAAAAAAAAAAAAAAATTTCAGGAATCTATTTTGTATTTATTAATATACATTTCTTTTTTTCCTTTTTCTTCATGAATTAACAATATTAACTTTTTTCTTAATAAGAAATGCAAAAAAAAAGTAAAATAATTTGGAATTTGAATCTAAAAAAGAATTAAAAATTATTATAATATGCTAGAGAAAATTCAATGAAGTGCTTATATATTAGTGAGTTGTATATTTTAAAAAAAAAAACAATGTAAAAATTACATAAAAGTTATAATTAAAAATAGTAATGAACAAAAGAGGAAAATAGAAAAAAAAAAAAAAAAAAAAAAAATCCTTAAGTAATGTTATAAATATTATTACTAAAAATTTTATAAAAAATTAAAAAGCTTAGTTGTGATATATATATATATATATATATATANATATTATTAATTAGAGAAGGTTTATGTAATTTATTATAAGACGTACAAAAAATAAAAATTAAGATAAAATTATATTTATAAAAATATTATAAAAAATTTCTTTACAAAAAATGTGTTTGTGTATTTAAGAAATATTTTAATATATGATATTTAAATTTTATTTTATATTAATTATATTCTTAATATTTTACATAAGTTTTAAAACAGTTTTTTACTTAATCTTTTTTTAGTTGATAATCTTTATAGTTTTTTTTTTTTTTTTTTTTTTTTCAATACTTAATTTAATCTTTATTAACGTTGTGCAAAATATAAGCAAGTACATGTAACATCATATTTTTTAAAAAAAAAAGACTATTTAGAAATATTTATTATTAATGTAATTTTTAACTTCTCATAATAAAAAATGAATATTCATAACAAAATTCGAATAATTTTTTAATATAAACAAATGCGTAAAATTATCTCTTTTTATCATAATTATATTTTTTTAATAGTTAAATGCTACAATTAACTCATATACACCATCCATATTAATTATAGTAAAAAATTAAAATAAAAAAAAAAAAAAAAAAAAAATTTATTATAAATATTACTATATAAATTGATATGAATATAGAAATATATTAGAAAAAATATTTTTTTCCGTAATATATTGCATGAAATCTTATAAATTAAATACTTTACATTCAATTTAAAAAAATGAATGTTATTAAAAAATACATTCAATAATAATAATAAAATGGACGTATATATATTATAATAATATTGGATAAACTAAATCTTAGTATTGTAACATAAGAAATAATAAAAATTGAAATAAAAAATACTTTTCTATAAATATTTCGTATCTTACTATAACCAATTTTCTTAACCATTAAAGAATATAAAAAAAAATAAAACAGAAAAAAGTATAAAAATAAAAAAAAAAAAAAAAAAAAAAAAAGAAAAAAAAAAAAAAAAAAAAAAAAAAAAAAAAAAGGAAAAAAGATAATAAAATAATAAAAAATACATGTATAATAAGTTTCTTAATTTTAAGTATATAAATATAAAAGATATTTATTATTTATTATTTATTATTTATTAAAATTAAACATTACTACATGATGCAACAACAGCTGCTGTAATAGCTGCACCTTTTCCTGATCCATCATCTGCAGGAATAATAATCAAATTCTCAGATTTATCGGCTAAAATTACTTTCAAATGTTCTTGTAATCTTTTACAATACCAAGCATTTTTAACAAATAATGATCCATCAACTCCACATGAAAATTTAGAATGTTCTATAATTTTTATTCTTTTTGCTATGGCAGCAATTGCACCAGCAGCTAAACCAGCTGAGCGATTATAAACAGCTTCGCAAATTTTTCTTAGAGCATATACTTGTTCATCGGTTAAATCAATATCCCATGCATCTTTTGCAACTTTTCTTGTTTCTTCAAAATTTTTTGAAGTATCGTTCAATACAACACTACCTGATTCAGAATTAAATGTATCAGTTATCCACATTTTTTTTGAAGATGCACTTTGCAAAACATTAACCATGTATCTCCTAACCATTTCTCCTAAATAAGCACCTGAAATCATTTTCTCAAATAATTGTCTACTTCTATTAGAAGAATACCAATCCATTACTAAATCAATTGGTGCTAATGGTAAATCTTTATCAAAATTACCAAATTCAATATTTATAATTTTTCCTGAATATTTATATTTTTTCCATTCTGGCTCATAATAACAACCATTTGATCCAGTTCCCAATATTATTCCTATATAACAAGGTGGAGTGCTTTTTCCTTTTTGATATGCACATGACATTAATGTACCAACAGCGTCATTAACTACACAGCAAACTTTTGCTGGTACACTTGACCTTGTAAATGCTTCATTCATTAATTTACATACATCACGACCTTCTACTGGATCATTTGTAGCTCTTCCTGTTTCAAATCCTTTCGTCCAATCAATAAGAATTGCACAATTAATTGATGGAGAAGTGCAAGGAAAAGAGAAAGTAAATCCAACACTTTTAACTTCTTTACTATCTAAATCATTGAATTCTCCCATTATATATTTTATCCTTTCTGCAAAATGATCAAATAATTGGGAAGCTGTTGCATTTTTATCTAATAATCCTTTTTCATGGGAAAAAGTTCCTGTAAATTTCAAACTGTAAGTTTCCTGATCTCTCTTAATTTTACCATTTCCATCTAATGAAGCTCTAACAGCTCTAAAATTCGTTCCTCCAAAATCAATTGCATAGTAGGTTCCTTTTTCTTTACCTGAAGGAATTTCAGATATACATGAATCCAACATTTTAAAACTGCATTCATGTGGAATCCACAAATTGGGATGCTTGCGATGTGCTTCTAACCCTTTTTTTAATTCATATACAAAATTATCTACAAATTCTTCTAAAAGATAATATGGAAGTCTTAAATGATCAACAAATTTATTTATTCTTTCTAATAATTCTTCATTTATTGGGATATCACATTCAATGGTATCTAATTTTGAATATACAACGTTATCCTGTACTAAATTGTATTCTCCCATTTTTATTTATTTTATATATAAAATGTAGATTAATAAAAAAAACTGATAAGAAAATAAATATAATATATTGTAATAAAACTTTTTTCTAATAATACTTATATATATATAAACGTAAAATGTATAAATAAAAATAAATAAATAGTTAAATCATAATATCAATAATATTATAACTATATAACGCTTCAAAAATTATATAATATAAACTGCAGTGAAATTAATATATACAACTAAAATAAAAATAAAAAAAGGATAAATGTGAAAAAATAAAAATAATATAAATATATATAAAATTTAGTATATACATAGAATATATACATGAAATTTAACGTATACAAATTGAATAAATATAAAATTCAATATATAAAAATGATATTAAAAGAATATGGAATATATAAAAAAATAATACAAGAATATATTTGATACAAAAAAACAATAAAAAATAAATAAAAATAATATGAAAAAAAAATTAAATGTAACAGTTAATCAAGACAACTTAAACATTTAAATATGAAAATTAAACATGAAAATGAAAATTAAAAAATAATGTTTGTAATTCTTTATTTAAATTTAATATAAATTAAATAAATTGAATAAAAAATTTATTAATTACAAATCCCCTACGTGGAATATACATATGAGCAAACGTATATATATGAAAAAAATTATTAAAAAAAAAAAAAAAAAAAAAACAAAACAAAAACGATGATAAAGCATAAATTTAATTTATCAACATTTAAAAAAGAATGTATGTTATTTTTAAATAAAATATTAAAATATAATAAAAGATATTTATTACTAATATTTTTAAGAAAATAATTTTTTTTTCGTAAAATATTAAAAAAATTATAGAAAAAAAGGTATTGTAAAAATAAAAATGCTAAAAATAAAAACTATTATTAAAAACCAAAAAAAAATATATTTAAGTGCATAATGCTATATATACTTCTAAATTTTTTTCTTTTTATATTTATATCGTATATATAAAAAAAAATTGCATATTTGAGAATTTTTAATTTTTTTTATAGTAATATAGATCTGTTTTACAATATATTTGTGATTACATGTTTTATTAAAAGTCAAATTTAAGAATACCTTTACTTTAAAGAATAGAGAAGTTAAACCATTAGAAAAAAAAAATACAATTTAAATTAAAAAAAAAAAAAAATTGCATGGATGCACGAATATACTTGAAGCGTAAGAAAAAAAAAAAAAAAAAAAAAAAAAAAAAAAAAAAAATCTTTAGAATATGAGATCTTAAATATTAAAAAAGAGTAACTTTATTTATGTACAAATTTTATTCTCATCTTAACTCTTGTTAAATTATTTCTAATCATTATGCTTATAATCATTGAACTTATCATTGAAATATATATAACTCTTAATTATATAAATAATAAAAATAAAATAAAATTAAAAATATTTTAACGTTTAATATGAAAGTGGGAAATTATAACTTGATTGAAGAGTATCTATTTTTTCAGATTTCTTAATATATAAAAGAAAACTTTCAATAACATATAATACAAAACAAAAAAAATGTATAAGTTAGGATATGAACTCTACAATTTTTACTAATTCTGCAATTTCTATATTATAAAAATAGTTTTAATATTTCATATTTATGTAATAAACATACAGAAATTTTTTAAATAATTTTACAATGAATTTAATTTTTTTTTTTTTTTTTTTTGATAAAATAAACATTTGAATATTATATTTTTAAGAAACGAATTGCATAAAAGCATTTTACATTTTATATTTTAAGCAATTGTTAATTATTATAAACAAATATAGAGTTAAAAATTTTTTAATTTTTTATCATTGCAATGATAAAGATTTATATTAAATGAATGGAGAAATAAAAAGTTGAATATTAATGTGGATATATTTGTAGTATTTATACAAATAAGATTTTTGAAAAAATATTAGCCAAAGCAAAAAAAAAACAATTATAATAAATAAAAACTTTTTTGGGAGAAGTTATTTTATCTTTTTTTAGATAGTACTATCTTAAGAATAATTGATATATTGAAAATAAAATGATGATTTATTAATAACATATAATAAAATAAAAATATTGCTAAAAAAAATAAATGTAGAATATAAAAAAAATAAAATGGTAAAGTTAGAAGTAATTTTCTTAGACAAAATTAATTATTATCTACTTAAGTATATTATATATATTTAAAATAAAATTATTTCCATTCGAATCAATAAAACATTATTCTATTATATTTCATTATAATTCAAAATGTTATAAAGTTTTGCAAATTCGATACCTCGTGATTTTAAAGAAAAAAAAAGAATTACTTATCCTTATAAAATATTAAATATTTATATATAATAGCAATAATGGAATAATTAATTAAAGTTTTCTATTTATATTAACAAATTTATTTAAATGTTAACATGTTTAGTTTATTATGAAAATATAAGGTGAAATAATATATAGAAATAAAAAGAAAAAACAAAAAATTAGTTATAATATTAATCCAATATATGTTCATTAAAGAGAATTTATAAAATATTAAAAATATACATTAGTTAATAAAATAAGAAAGTTCTAAGATAATTAAAATATCTGTTAAACTTTAAAATGAAAAAATTAAAACATATTTTATTATATTTTCTCTAAAAATTTTAAAAAAGATCAAATATATTTTGTTATTTTTTTTTTTTTACTTTTCATTAAAGATTTTCTACTAAATCTAACCCATTTTTCGAATAAAATGTGGATCTTTTAATAAAAGGTCGTTGAAGCTTGCTATAATCAAAAGGAATTTTTCTTTTCATAGATTTTGAGTCATTGTTTTCTTCGTCATCATACCACTCAATTTTATCTCCTAAATTTTCTAACATATTTTCAGCAGTTGACCAACTAAAGCGAACTATACTTGGAAATCCAAAAACAGAATCAAAATTATTTTTTAAAAAGTTTTTAGTAATAGGATCTCCAGGATAACCTGATCCGAAGCCATTATCAATATTAATAATTGGTTCTTCATATTTCCATTTTTTTAAAATAAAGTCACGAGTTACTTTTGCACATATAGAAGCAGCACTAACTACTGGGTATAAAGAATCTGCTTTTTCTTTGACTGTGCATTTTATATGAGGGAATATTTTTTGTAGCTTTTCTTCATAAATACTTGCTTTTCCAACTGTATCAACAAAAACTTCAGTTAAATTACATCCTCTATTTATAACGTGTTCAATAATTGATATAGCTGTATCATGAGAAATTTCATTTAAATTATACTTTTGTTTTTTTAACATTTTTGCACTTATATCTTGTGGTAATAATATATGTACTCTCCAACCAAATGGTAATTTTGCATTATTTAATTTTAAAAACATCTTTTCTCTATCTCCTTCATTTATTTTTTTAGAGTCATCAATTTTCATTTCTTTTAACAACTTTTCATCTTCTTTTTTACAATAAAAGCCAGAGTAAACCATTGGCCCTAATACTGGGCCTCTTCCAGCCTCATCTATACCCAATCGGATTTCATCATCACCAAATTCATACAAATTATCAATAATTATTGGTTCCATATCATGAAAATAATTTAGTACAATTTGTTATTATATATACTAATTTATATTTCTAAAAGAAAAAGCATGTTAATAAATTTTCTCGTTTTCTTATATTACAATATAATTTTCCTTAAATATTTATATATAATAAAAAAATACAGAAAAAAATTTCAAAAAGAACATTAAATTATGCTTTTTCACAAAACTCTCATATTGATTTATCATATTTACTTGTTAAAATGATAAATATAAAATAATATTTTTTTTTTTTTTTTTTTTTTTTTTCTTCTTCTTTTAAAACATTATTCATTAAATTTTTTTTTTTTAAGTTCTAATTTCGCATTTTAAAAGACATATCCGTTAAAATATATATTTTATTCCTTATTTTTAATTTAAATTTTATTTGAAATAATTTTCCTTATATTTTAATATATATTTTTTAAATTTATAATAATATATAATAATAATTTTTAATAACAAAGTAATTTTAAATTAAAATTAATGAAAATTACTTTTATTGAAAGAAGGCAAAAAGAAAAAAGAATTTTCTTTTATAAAATAAAACTTGTTTTACTCAAAAGATATATGCTTTTTATTAATACACAGAATGAAAAATTATAGAGTTTAATTTTTTTTTGTTAATGAAATGCCAATATATCATAAACATAGAGTTCTGAAGTTTTCTCCTATGAATATTAAAATATATGACAATTTTTTAATCATGTAAAATTTTCATCATATAAATTTATTAGAATGCCTTTATGTTTTTAATGAAAACACAATTCTTGTGTTAAGAATTTTTTTTTATACAATATTATTATATATAATTATTTTATAGAACTTAATTGGGTCAAATGTTGCTTGTTATTTTAGTTTTAATATATCAAATATATTTTATTAAAATAATAAAACTAATGATATTTTTTTAAATAATTTATTTAAGATTTTCTTTCTATTTATGTAATAAATACCTTTTAACATTTTAATTTATTCACTAAATGTAGTATAATTAATGAATGGCTATGTTTATTTTGTCTTCTGATAAATTGTATAGAAATTTTAAGTCATAAACAAAACAAAAAAAAAAAATATATATATAAAAATATATATAATGATACCATATAAATATCATTATTTTTCTTGACATTCTTTATTAATTAAAAAAATGAAAAGAATTTAAAGACTACTGATTAAAAAACAACAAAAAAAAAAATATAAATATATAAAAATATATAAAATGATACAATATAAATATCATTATTTTTCTTAACATACTCTATTAATTAGAAAAATGAAAAGAATTTAAAGACTACTGATTAAAAAACAACAAAAAAAAAAAAAATATATTTTTTAGCGATCCTTATATGGTTTATAAGAATTTTTCGAATAAAAATATTATAATAAAATTACAAAAAAAGTACCCAAAAAAAAAATTTTAAATAAAAGATATAATTACAACAAAAAATAATAAAATTTTTTAATAAAGAAATAAACATTTTACTCGAAAAAAAAAAAAAAAAAAAAAAAAAAAAATTTAAAAAAAAAAAAAAAAAAAAAAAAAAAAAATTTTAA